TGTCTAAAATTTTTACAGTTTTAAAGAAGTGAAATTTTTCTAATTTAACGTAAATTTGAATAAGCTATTCGTGAAGCTGAACTTCAACTTAAGGGGGATAGCCACTGTGAAATTAAAAAAAAAAATTTTTGTTTTTATTAAATCAAAGTTTATACATTCAAAAATTTGTAACATTTTTTTTTCCTTATTCATCTATTCAATAGCTAATTTTGATTTTTAAGATTTTTTAGGGCTGTTTGAATCCAAAAAAATGAAAAAATTTATAATATGTCACCATTTTTTCTAAATCCAATTTTTCAAAATTCCCTACGTGGAACAATAACAACATTCATGTAGATTACAACGCAGACTGTAAAAAATTTTGCGTCATTGTGTCAAAAAATTTTTATGTTAAATATTTCGGCTGCCCAATTTGAAAACACAGTTAACAGTAACTGACAATTTTAAGATTTTTAAAAATTTTTCTTATTAAAAAAAAGTTTTCATGCCTAATTGATAAAAAATTTGATTTATGAATAGAAAATACTTGAATATAAATATTTTTAAGAAAAAATACTTAAAATTAAGGTTTAAAAGTTATAAGAAATGCAGCAATACTTAAAAAAATCAGGTATAAAAATTTTGCAGTTACTGCACCCGTGTAAAAATGATATGATATCATTATGAGGCTCATAATGAATCTCATATTTTGGCACTAATATGAGATTCATATAAAAGCCATATTAATATATTTGAAACCTGTATTAAGTAAAATACTTATGGAAACGAATTTTTTTAACTAGATTATAAAATTTTTATTTTTCTTGTTGGAGAAAGCAAATTTCCAGTAATTTAAAATTATTATTAAATATAAAATTTGATCCACACGGATTGGTCTTATGGAGATTCGTGACAAATCCATAGTGACAAACGCATAATTTCATACTGAAGTCATAATAGTAACTGCGTAAACTTATGATGGGATCAGGCTGATATTTTTTTTAATTCATCATAATATTGTAATGATATTGTTGCCTTCTATTCATAATTCAAGAAAAAAACTTTTTTGTAACTGTTGGAAATTCATTAGGACAGTATCTCCATGATGATATTGACATAATTTCATTATGAAATCATAATGATATTAAAATGAATTAATAATTAAATGATGGTCATATCTTTATAAAATCATAATGATATCATAATGATATTTTTAGTCTTTTTAAATCGTGATATAAAATTATTGAGTCATAACTGTATACAGGAAATATTGCAAAATAATTAAATTAAAGAAATTTTTAGGAGGATTTGAATTGTTTTCAAAATAAGAAAATAATTATCTTGAGACGAAAAAATCTTTTCAGTCAAAAATTTGCTTTTAAACCAAGATAGTCAGTGTTTTTCTAAATATTCTTCTAAGTTAAGAAAGACAAGGAAAAAATTTAAGTAGTTCAACAATATAGTGCATGATAAAAATACTGTTTTTCTCAATTATTATACATTTCCTCTGATTAACAGAAAAAATGAAATTTTTACTGATCTACTGAAAAAAAATTCGTTCCCACAGGTATTTTACTTATTACGGGTTTCTAAAGTATTGATATGGCTCTTATATGAATCTCATATTAGTGCCAAAATATGAGATTCATTATGAGCCTCATAATGATATCATATCATTTTTACACGGATGTGTTTTAAGATTAGGCAGCCGATTTAACACTTTTTCTGTTAAAATTTTTTACTGTGCAGTTTGGTTTTTTTTTGTTTTAGATAATCCGTTTTTAAGTTAGAGATCTCACTGTGGTGGGGGCCACCAAAAGTTTTTTTGGTGCTCCACAAAAATGCCTATAACTTTGTAACAACATGATATTTTTTAATCAAAATTTAGGAGAATAATCTTCAATGTACACATTATAAAAAAAAAAAAAAAAAAACCCGATCCCCAAATTGCTTTATTATCCCAGTCAAAAAATTCCCGAAAATTACTTATTTTTTTTATCCTCACAAAGGCTATTTCCCTCAAATTTTGTGAAGAAATGAAAGATAAACTTCTTTAAATTAATTTCTTCTTTTAAAAATATCAAACTTTTTTTGTATTTGAGAAACTGTGATATTTTTTATAACCGTAGCGTAAAAATTTCAAGTTTTTCCAGTTTTTAAGACTGTTTTTCGAGTTTTTAAGATACAAATATCCGGAAGCTAAATTTTTATAGGAAGATTGTTTATTAATTAAATTATGGATGCCATAAGGGCGTCTGGATTTTTAGTTTGGAGAAAAATTTTTTTTTGCATTTCTGCACGTTTCTTACAAAAATACGTTGATTCCCGGAAAAAAATTTTTTTTATACGCCCTTATGGCTTTTCACCGGGATCTTTCGCCGGTATACGCCCTTATGGCATCCCGTACAAAAAAAATTTTGGTTCCGGATGAACTTCAGATTGTGAAACAAATATGAATTTCATCATGAAAGTCAGCTGGAATTCCAGATGAACTTCATGGTGAATTTGAAACAAATCGCACATAAAACTTAATTTTTTTAATCAGTGTAAAAATATTTGGAGACAGTTGTATTAGAATTTTTAGTTTAACTTACGCTGACTCATTATTTACGATTCTTAAACTTCTATCTGGATAAATTTTTTTGAGTAGAAGAACACAATACGCAAAATAATATTTCGTAATTCATCATGAAAGTCAGCTGGAATTCCAGATGAATTTCTTGATGAATTTGAAACAAATAGTTTATGAAACTTAATTATTTTAATTTGTGAAATAATATTCGGAGACAGTTATATTGGAATTTTTAGTTTTATTTACACTGGCACAACATTTGCAATTCTATAAAGTCTATTTGGATAAATTTTTTGGAGTAGAAAAACACAAAATGTAAAATAATAATTCAAAATTCAATATGAAAGTCAGCTGGAATTCCAGATAAATTTCATGATGAATTTGAATCACTCTGTATATGAAACTTAATTTTTTTAATCAGTAAAAAAATATTTAGAGAAAGATATATTGGAATTTTTAGTGGAACTTACGCTGACTCATTATTTACGATTCTGAATCTTCTATCTGGATAAATTCTTTGGAGTAGAGGAACACAATACGCAAAATAATATTTCGTAATTCATCATGAAAGTCAGCTGGAATTCATACAAATATATGAGTGATAGGTGTACACACGTACTGTATTGTGGCTCTGTCTATTTTCATAAAATTTCTTGATTAACTTTAAGTGTTAAATTTGTACTATCACCTCATTCCTAGTGTAACAACATGGGTTGTAATTTGTAATTGGTTGAATATCTGATAAATCTCAAAGTAATTTAATAAGTTCGATTTTATTAGTGGATAAACTTTGAAGGTTAGGCTGTGAAATTCTACTTGTTCACCCGCGCAGTATTCCACGCGCAATCTAGTGTTTACGCAGGCGTACATCGAGTCACATAAAATAGTGTATGTGTATGTGTAGTGTATAAACTCAATTTGAATTACGGGCACAGTGACTGGCATATGTGTGCTCAGGCACAGCTTATTACTATACAGCTTATTGCTATAGAAACTTTGTTTACTCTGAGCTGCGTCTGTTTATTACCTATACAAACTTTAAATACACTTAGTAATAGTATCATCTTATTATATCACTGATGTCGGACTTATGTATTGCTTGTAAAAAACCAACAAATACTCCAGCTGTTTGTCCTTCTTGTCAACGGATTTATCACTTAGACTGTTTGCGAAATTGTATGAAAATCAAGTCATTATATCACTGTTGTGCTACAAATCTCAAACATTTATTGACTACTGGTGAGATAAAGACTCGTAGCAAGTCAATCTTCGATAAACAAACAAAAAACCAAATAATTTCTCCAGCTAGTAATAAAGCAGTCACCAACAAATAAGCAAATACACAAAAAACTTCATCAACAAGTCTGAAATCTCCTCTCACATTACATCTAGGAACCAATACCGCAAAGACCTCAACAACTAAAGGCAAAGATTCAGGATTGAAAAATAAGCATCTCACTAGAAGTTCATCTACATCTAGTACTAAATCTGTTACTTCACCGCTACAATCACCGATAACGCAGTCTACTCTATCAATCGCTCTCACTGATTCAAACATGTCCTTAGATTCAATAGTGTCTAAGGCAGCTCTCCAAAGTCTTCCAGAAAACTGGGAGACACAAAATACGGATGAAAAACTAACTTCGATGATGAACTTTTTTCTTACTTCTAATCATTTGATGACTGAGAAATTAGACTTGATCGATAAACGATTGGATTCACTGCAGCTAAATGTTTCTTCAAATACTGCCAGTATCTCGGAACTCAGAGAAGAATTAAATACACATAAGTCAAAAACAGCAGCTGATTCAAAGCTGTTTATTGATGAACTATCAAAGCTCAAGACTGTTAGCTTATCTCCATTGGATATCACCGAAACTGTCTTTAATACACTGAAGGTTCATAATTTAAAAAGTGATATTTTATCAATCCGCAAATTCGAAAATAATAATAAACCAAATAGTGCGAATGATAAGCCCCAGAATAAAAATTCTTCTTACTTAATAAAATTAAAATCTACTGAAGTTCGCGATTTCATAATTAGTGCCAAAAAACATTTAAAAACAGTAAATACAAAGGATGTTTTCCCAACTTTGGTTGAGAAAACATTCAGAGGTCTGATTCACGTTAATGAATTTCTAAATTCCGATACTTATAAATTACTTCTCAAGACTAAAGCTAAAGCAAAATCTCTAAATTACAAATATGTTTGGGTACGAAATGGTTTAATTTTTGTAAGGAAAACTGATGAAGTTGAACGTATTATTATCAGATCTGATTTAGATTTAGAAAATTTATACTTCAAAAAATTTATCCAGATAGAAGTTTAAGAATCGTAAATAATGAGACAGCGTAAGTTACACTGAAATTTCCAATATAACTTTCATATACTATTTGTTTCAAATTCATCATGAAATTCATCTGGAATTCCAGATGAAATTCATTAAGAAATTCATATTTGTTTCACAATCTGAAGTTCATCCGGAACCAAAATTTTTTTTGTACGGGATCTGGAATGCGATATGATGTAGGTAAAAGAACCAAATATTGACCAGGTAGCTCAACAATTTGATATTCTGCAAAGCCAATAGGGCGTATATTTTGAGATACACCCTTTTGGTTTTACTAACGCGTTATATAAACATCGAAACTTCATTTTTTAGTTAAAAGGAACAAAAATGACTTCACGCATTAGACCTATAAAAATAACAGCCGTGGGTGATGGAATGGTTGGAAAAACGTGTTTGCTAATCACATACACTACTAAAAAATTTCCAACTGAATATGTACCAACTGTGTAAGTTATCGGAAGAATATCGTAAAATATATAATATAATTATCTTAACGATTTACTTCAAAGGATTGTTTTTAGGTTCGATAATTATTCTGACAGTGTCAATGTTGACGGACAGGAATTTAATGTTACGTTGTGGGACACAGCGGGTCAAGAAGACTATGAACGCTTAAGACCATTATCATATCCAAATGTAAGTATTTCTTAACTTTTACACTTAATTTGCTTGCAAACTACTCAGATTGACAAAAATTATAAAATTTCTTGTTTTATCAATGAAAAGAGGATTAATTGTTTTTTTTTTTTTAAATCAATTACAAATATTTTTTTTAAAGAAGTGAGCGTTTAAATTTTTCCAAACTTTTTTATTTCTTAATTAAAGAAATAAAAAATTTTCTTGTTTAAAGAAAAGTATTATGAATTTGGAAAAAAGCAATTTTGGATGAAAATTAACAAATTGTCTATTTAAAAATGGTTTTTTTAAATCAAAAAAATTTTTTTTCAACAAGAAAATTACTGAGAAAAATTTTATTTCTTCAGCTAAGAAATAAAATTGTTTAAAATTTTCAACAAATTAACTTTTTTTCTAAAATGAGGGGTGCATTTTTGTATTTTCCAAACTTTTTTATTTTACAGACCGACTGTTTTCTACTGTGCTTCTCAATAACAGCAAGTAGTTCATTTGAAAATATTCTAAGTAAATGGTATCCAGAAATAAAATTTCACTGTCCTGATGTCCCAATTGTTCTCGTTGGTAAATTATTTTTTTATCTCTGTGAAATTGTTAATTTAACATATATTATGATATAATAATAATAATAATAATAATAATATTATGCAGGTACAAAAGGTGATTTAAGAAATGGTGACCAAAAAGGTGTTATTTCATTAAATGATTGTAAAAAAATGAAGAAGAAAATTCATGCGTTTAAATATGTAGAGTGTTCAGCTAAACTCCAGGAGGGTCTTGATGAAGTCTTTTCGGATTCTATTAAAGCTGTTTTGAAGAAACCATTGAGAAAAAAATTTTGTTATTTATTATAATTATAATTTTATGTTTTTTATTATATTTACAATAGAGTAAAGCGAACAAAAATTTTTTTCGGTAAAATTTTTAGCTTAAAATTTTAAAAATTTTTTTATGATGATAAGTATTTAGGCTGCATTCGAAAATGCTCTATCTCTAGATACATAATTAAGACATGACCTTGTATCTTGTGAACTATTGACATTTTAAAAGATATAAGCTCATCCCAACATTACACTTATCGAGACCTTTAATTTGAATACCCACATCAATTTTTCATATATTTTATATATTTATATATATTATATATTGAACTATTGACATTTTTTAAAATATAAGCTCACCCCGAGAATACACTCATCGGGACCTTTCATTTGAGTACCCACATCAATTTTTCATATATTTTATATATTTATATATATTATATATATATATGTATATATGAAAAATATATGAAAATGCATGTGGGTATTCAAATGAAAGCTCTTGATGAGTGTAACATCGAGATAAGCTTATATCTTTAAAAACGTCAATAGTTAAAAAAGTACAGTGCAATTTAACAAAAGTCATTATTTTATAAAGCAAAATTTTATTTATTTATAATTCACAAGTCACGGCAGTCACATAGTGACTGCAAGGTTGCTAGTTTTTAATTAAATAAGTAATAAATGAAAAAAATTTTTTTTAACTATTGCAGTTTTCAAAATAAGCAATTAAAGAAAACTATTGTGTAATAATTCAATTTTATAATACTTCTATTATTGTAAGAAAATATTACTCAATAAATATGCCAATAAATCGAAAAAATTTATGAGAGTAAAAACTGTTTTATTAATTTGATATTATAATTTCTCCAACATTAATTACAAAAAAAAAAAAAAAAGTTTGTGGCGATAAAAAATTTTTGAAAATATTAATATAAATTTAAAAGTACGAATCAGGTTCAAAAGTACGACACTGACATGAGTAAATTAAAAAATAAAAAATAACGAGTTCTATTCTTTTAGAAGAACTTGAGACTTCAAAGATTGATGCCAGCGGATTGAAGATAATTTTTTAGATGCATAGCATTGGGCGCTGGAAGTTGCTGTAATAAGCCACTCAGTTGTCCTGGTTGTAATTTACTGAGTCCTTGAACTAAATGTAATCGTACATCGGGAATCGCTGGAATAAAAAATTTTTTTTTGGTTAAAAATTCTTGTGACATACGCCAGAAAAAAAATTTATTTTATATAAAAAAAAATTATTTCTTACATGAGAAAAAAATATTTTTGTAATTTTTAAACATTTTTTAAGAAATCAAAAATTTTATCAAAAATAATTTTTAAAATTTTATCAAAAATAATTTTTAAAATTTTATTAAAAATAATTTTTAAAATTTTATCAAAAATAATTTGTAAAATTTTATAAAAAATTTTTTGCAATTTAAAAAAAATAAAATTATTAAATTATAAAAACTATGTTACCTTCCAAAGGATCTTTCTTCGGATTTTTGGCACAAATCAATTGGCTGTAAGCTGCCTGATAACCTTGATCATTACCAACTTCCGGTAGAAAATCGTCTCCGTTGACAGTATTGTCTTGAGGTAGTTCAAAAAATTCAATCAAACTTGCTAGCAACTTTGGATAGTATAGATTGTACGAGCTTTCGATCATCGCTGGACAATCTGTCAGGATATTTGAGATACCGACAGCCGCAATTTTACGGTCAATATCACCTGACACTTTTTGCAAGTCCACTATAATTAGACGTTCGACGATCATTCCAAACATCTGGGGCTGAATTTCGTCGATCAGTTGGATGAAGTTCGTTGGTCCGTATTTGATTATATAGTATGCGAAAAACACTATTAAATTTTTCACGAACTTTGTTGTTTTACTAGACGATAATCTTTGAAATAGTAAAACGAATACTTGCTTTATGTACGGTTGGAGTACTTCACTGAAAAAAAAAATAAAATGAAAATTAATTTTTCAATTTAAATGATTAAATAAGGTAAAAGCACTTATTATTGACAGGGCCCTATTTAATTTTATTATTTTATTATTGAAATCTGTTAATTATCACAATTTTTGATATTTTATAACAATTTTACATCTTTTTAAAATTAAAAAATAAGGTAAAAGACCCCTTTAGTGGCACTTTAATTGACTTTGCTATTTATTTAATCAATTTAATTATTAATTTCTATTATGAGTATTTTATTTCTAAACTTTAAGACTATTAAATCACAGAAATGTTCAATTTTCATTTCAGGGAAAATTTTTTTAGTAAAAAAAAAAATTTTCTCTTTCAACCAAACTGAAACCCCAAGCTAATTTTAAATTTCTTAATAATTCGGTTAACATTGGTCACATTTTTAAAAGCGAATTGTTAAATATTTTTCTCATATAATTATACTAGCAATTATCATTACAGATTTTTAAAAGTCTATAGAATCACAAAATTATTTATCTACCTTTTTTAAAATAAATATTATTAAAAAAAAATTTGTTAACTTAAAAGTTGACATGTCGAGAATAGCCGATAGATACTATTTTTTTCATGAAAAAAAAGTACTAAACCGTAAACTGAACAATCAGTAAAAAAAAAAACGGTATAAGGTAAATACCCCAATAGATGGACAGATATTATTTCTAGAAGCAATTACATTAGTTTTAAGTACAAAAATCTTAAGTTGTTATTTTTTTTTATGACTATATATAGTTCTGAGAGCGAAAAGTAATTTTTTTTTTAACTTTTTATTTTAAATAATAGTTTAAAAAAATTATTTAAATTGGACATCTCGAGGTTGTGTTCCGAGAGCGCCATCAGTAGTAAGCATGTGACAGATAGCTGGTGGAGTTATTTGTTATTATTATTAAAAATAATAAAAAAAAAAGTAGAGATTTTTACATTTGATTACGCTTAAATTTCACTAACAAAGCTAGAAATATAATATTTTAATGATAAAATCGAAAAAAAATAATAAAATTTAGTGTCCATCTATTGGTGACACTTTTCTGACCTCTATTCAATAGATGGACATTAAGTTTATATGATGAATTTTCTTATTTTTTTTTTAATTTTCTTGATGGATCAATGTGAGAATAAGAGTAAAGATTATAATAAACAGACATGTACTGAAAACGAAAGTATTATTATGATTATTGAAGAAAAAAAAGATAACGCTGAATAAATGAGAAAATTGAGCGAAGGAAATTTAGAAGCAAAAGAGAACAGACCTATTAAAAGGAAGAAGAAGAAGACAACATAAAATATTTTCAACGTTGTGTTTTATAAATTTATATGGATTATTTATTAGTCTTTTTTATATTAATATATTTTATAATATGTTAATTTGCACGAGAAAGCATCAGGTATTCAAAAACAATAATATTACTTTATGATGTATTTTGAAAAGTACTATCCGATTTATCATATTTTCTCTTTAATTTTATCAAGCTTTATTTTTTAGTGGAAAAAATTAATAAATTAATTATGTCTGATATAAATAATGAATCGAAAATATCGCTTATAAGTAGTGTCCATCTATTGGTATTGACTGTCCATCTACTGGGGGTTTGGACTTTTTCTTACATTTTTCTTTTTCATTAATTACTACAACGTTTTACGTTATTTTTTCCTGGTTAATTATATATTTTTACATAAATATAATTTACTTTATCACAACTTATCTGTAATTCTACTATATTGTTTTTTTTTAATAGAATACGAGAGTTTGCTTAAATGTCCATCTATTGGGGTATTTACCCTATACCTCCAGTAAAAGACCTGTCAATAATAGGGTCAATGGTATGTCAATAATCGGCTCTTTGAATTTTTTGCGCTGTCAATAATACATACATTCGATCTGTTGGTTTTAAGTTGATGTAATAATTATTAAATGTATTGCTATTAAAGTTAATTAATTAAATTATATAAGTAAAAACAATGATTAAGGTGTCCTATAAAAAAAAGTTGACAATATTGATTCGAAACACGATAAAAAAATTCAAATATTCATGATCACTCTTATAGTGTCAATAATGGGAATTTTTACCTTATTTAATTATTATCAACTTACGGTGGAAAATGTTGTATGATTGCTTGCATCAACAAAAAGCCTTCGTGGTCATTGGCTTTGGATGCAATCAATTTCTGGAAAACTCCCAACAATCCGCTAGTTTTATCTTGCGCAATTATTTGATGTGCTCCTAAATTAACGTACGCCTGCAATAAACGATTTAATGGATGTATGTTTCCTTGACGGTCGAACAAAGACGGCGCTAAAAGGCAAGGGAATAATGCCATGTAACTATCAGGAACTTCGGAGCCTGTCCTTAACTCTAGTAACAATGCAAGTATTTGGAAAACGTATGGAATAAATTCTTGGATATCTTGAGTAAGTATTCCTTGGAAGATTGGAAATAGTACAGCTTCGAATGATTCAATGGCACCCATATTTGATTTACAAACAATTCTATAATAATAATAATAATAATAATAAAAAAGTTAATTATTAATTTAAAATATTTTCAATTTTTATAGATAGAATTTTGCTTTAATTTTTTATATTACGGGCAAAATATTGGTTGTATAAAAAAATTTTTTAAGTAAAAAATGTCTCTTAGAATTTTTTCATTAGACCAATAAAAAAAGCCGCAATTTCAAAATTAAGATTTTCAAAATTAGCACGAATTTGAATCATCTATATCATTAATTAAGAGAATAAGAAAAATTTTGTATCTAAGATAGTCGTATGATAGAATCCGTTTTTTTTTTTAGTGAAATTTAGAGTCATTGCAAAGGTCTTGACTTGAATTTGTGCCTTTTTAGGTTTTATATCATTCTCACCGATGTCACTTTATTATGATAAGTATTTAGGCTGCATTCGAAAATGCTCTATCTCTAGATACATAATTAAGAAATGACCTTGTTTCTTGTGAACTATTGACATTTTTTAAGATATAAGCTCACCCCGACCATTACACTCATCGAGACCAAAAAGATTTTTTGTTAGCATAAAAAAATTTCAATTTTTTAAAATATTTTTTTAGTGAGTATTGAAAATAAAGTTTGGAAAATCCAAAAGTGCACGCCTCATAACGCTCATTCATTTTTTAAGAAAAAATTAATTGTGTAATTGATTAAAAAAAAAAAAATTATAATTAAGTAATTTCTTACAAAGTATTTTTTATTTTTTTTTATAAATATCAGCGCCCTTTCTTCTTGTCATGCGCGCACGCAGTCTAAAAAAATCTAGCTTGATCAAGTAGCGCCATAGTTTTCACGTGACAAATAAGGAAAGTTCGTTTAGCTTTGTACGGTTGTATCGTAGTAAATTTTAATAAAAATTCAATTTAAAAAAAAATACGTAAGCTAGGCCACTGATATGCAATACGGACCCAGTTCATCGAATTCTTAAACTAATAAAAAAAATCCGGTCTTGAAATATCAATTTGTTCGGGAGTAATCGTTGGTACATCCAAAATGGGGTGACATCCGGACGTCCACGTAAAATTTTTTTCAAAACGTTTTTTTTTTTCAAAATAGCAACATGAAATGATTTTAGAAAGTAACAGATGGTTTAATTTAAGTGTTTTTTCGGTGTACATCTACTTATATCATTGTATAAGTGTAATATGGTTGTGATAGAGGCATTTAAAGATCACAAAATTGCTTGATCTTAACGAGTCGAGTATAAAGCACAACCTCACGCGCTTCGCGCTATGAGGCGTGCAATATGTCAAAATGCATGTGGGTACTCAAATGAAAGCTCTTGATGAGTGTAACATCGGGATGAGCTTATATCCTAAAAAATATCAATGGTTAAGAAATGACGTATTTTGTTTACCAATGATATTTTCAACGATATAAGCTCATCCTGAAGTTACACTCATCGAGACCTTTAATTGGAATACCCACATCAATTTTTCATATATTTCATATATTTATATATATTACATATATGTTTATATGAAAAATATATCAAAAAGGCATGTGGGTACTCAAATGAAAGCTTTTGACGAGTGTAACATCGGAATGAGCTTATATCTTTAAAATCGTCAATAGATTAGAAAGTACAGTGCAATTCAACAAATATCTTGTGAACTATTGAAATTTTTTAAGATATAAGCTCACTCTTACAATACACTCATCGAGACCTTTCATTTGAATACCCACATGAATTTTTCATATATTTACATATATTATATATATGTATATATGAAAAATATATGAAAATGCATGTGGGTACTCAAATGAAAGCTCTTGATGAGTGTAACATAGGGATGAGCTTATATTTTTAAAAATGTCAATATCTAAGAAAGTACAGTGCAATTTAACAAGTCATTATTTAATAAAGCAAAATTTTATTTATTTATAGTTCAAAAGTCACGGCAGTCACATAGTGACTGCAAGGTTGCTAGTTCATTATGAATGTTAATTAAAAAAATTACAGTGAAAATATAGGTCGTATAAAAAAATCACTAAAGACAATGCTCGTAGAAAATAAAATTTTCCATAACTTTTTTTATAAAAACTTCTTTATAAGACCACTATTTACGGCAAAAATCTTGAATTTAAATGTAAAATAGAGTGAAAAAATTATTACCTTATTGATAAGCTGAGAGTTTCGAATAAGAAGTGATTGAAATTAGGACGACTGGGATTACCCGCAACAACTGTCAGTTTTTCAGTTAATTTTGGTAGTAATTCCCCGAGGTAAGGCAGTATATGGTCTTTCAAAACACCAAAACTACGCATAATTGCTTTCATCGCATATTCATTTTCATCTGAATTAGGCATTGATAAAATGTTGAATAATCCATTCAATAAATTCGATGCTAGAGGTAATACTTCTTCGACTTTAACTCTGTTAAATAAATAAATATTTAATAATTAATACATTATATTTATTTTCAAATTCAATTTATTAAAAAAAAAAATTACTAATTAAAAAAAAAAAATTATACTTACAAAGGTGAATGATCTGGATTTTTTAGTGATAGAATTTTATCAATAGCGCACGCTGCATATGTATGCACAACGATACTTGTTGCTCCTAAATGTCTAATAATGTCCGGAAGACAGCTTACAACAATTTCACGAGGTAAAATTGATCGGAATGTCATGATAAACTTAATAGAACTTGCTTTGATAACTGGTAATTCATTAACTAAAAAAAAAGTTTCAATTTTTTAATTTTTAAATAAAATCTGACTTTTTTTTTTTTTTTTTTGAGATAAAGGCATCAGTTGTCGACATTTTAATTTATACAAAAAAAATTTATTTTAGTTTTCTTTTCTAGTTTTTAAAATTTTCTACATATGAAAATTTTTCAATAAAAATATATAATTATTGAAAAGATCCTTACCATTAGGTTTGGCTAATTCCGTTAAAATATGCTGGGTAGCAAAATGTGGAATAGGCACGAATTCATTACTCTGAGTAACTCCATGTTTTTGCGTTTGTCCTTTACTCGCAGAACTAGTGACCAAGTAAATAACGGCGTCTTTTTTGCTCCAATTTTCTGAAGGTTTTGCAGCATATTCTTCCAATCGTTGCATCACATAGACACCGAAAATGTCCATTACTTTAGCGCCGTAATATTTGGCAAGTACTTTTACTAAATCACAGGCAGCACGACGACGTGTGTCCACGTCACTACCTTCAACGTCCCTGCGGATGTACTCCTCCGGATTGTCTTCAAATAGTTCACTGTCCGACTCACGGAATTCAATATTAGGTGTTATCAAATTCGTACATATGTTCCGTAAGGTTTCTGGATTTTCAAAGAGCTCACGGTAGTGAGCGCGATCGGCGACGGTCACCAGGAATTGCAATGAATTAGATACTAGCTATAAACAAATCAAAATTATAAGTTTGTATTTAACATTAACAGAAAAAATATTCAATTTTTACAGATTAATTTATGTAAAAATTACATATTTTTTCTGCAAATTGGACAGAATATTTTTTGTAGATTTTACAGAATTTATCTGTTAATTTCACAGCAAATATCTTGAAAAATTTACAAATAAATTCTGTTAAATCTACAAGAGTATTATGTAATCGTTGCAGAGTTACTTCTTGAATTTTAATTGAGTTTAATTATCAATAAAAAATGTAAATAATGATCTGTTAATAGTAAATTTCAAATTTTTATTACACGTGAATCAATAATTTTTTTACTGATTATAAAAAAAAATTTATCCAAAAGTACACTGAAAAAAAATAGAAAAATAAAAATTTTTGAAAAAATTATAAAAGTTTATATAAATCAATTTGCAACGATGTTGACCCTCGTAGCATTTTTCAATTTATTTCGATAAATTTTTAGTAATAATTACAGAAAAAGTCCTGTCATAATTGCATATAAAGTTCTGTTATAATTATAGAAAAAATTATGTCATAATTACAGACTCAATATAAAAAATTTAGATTTAGAATCACAGAATTAACTATGTAAAAATAACACATTGAATTTTGTAAATTTTCTATAAGTAGATTGACAGATTGAATTTTGTGAACTTTACAAATCTTTTTGAATGAAGCCCCAAGCTTATAAAAATTTTTTAAACGTCTTTAAATATGTCAAAATCAATAAAAAATGTGCTACGAATTTTATTTGATAATGAAACAATAAAAATATACAGTTTATATCCATATGCACACATTTATGCTCTTTATGAGTTTGACTGAATGGTTTGTATATTTTACTTAATGTGTGTAAATTTTTTTCATAGATGAAATAAATAATAAAAAGGAGGAAGCGAAAAAGCGTGTGCCGATATCATGAGTTAAATGTGTGTGGCTGGGAGATAACAAATATCAGAAATATCATACATATATATATATATATGGGTGGCGCAAAAAAACCGACTATTTTTTTTTTTGAGTCTCGAGTGAAAAAATGTTAGTTTTTGATGTTTTAAGAGCCCTCACCAAAGGACAGCTCAAAAAAAAATTTTTAAGAGGTCACTCCAAATTTTTCAAAATTTCAAAAATCGTCAAAAATCAAATTTTTTTTT